ACGCGATTGATAAAATTTTTTCGACGATGAGAACGGGAGAAGGGGCTCCCGAATGCCCCGCCAGGACAGACCCAGTTGGACACATCATGGACTCCTGGAAACAGTGGAACTTGATTTGTTCATCTCAGCTGTCTGTGGAGGACTCTGAAGACGTGTGGATATTTGAGGTGTTGGTGTCAGTTTTCCTGCTCATTGGCCTTGGAGGCTACCTGGCGTACTCGAAAATTAACGAGCTGTGGAGGAATATTGGCCTGATCCTGGAGCTCAGAGATGGTTTGCACCACGCTGTGAATTCACAGACTCAAATAATTGTCTAGATGAATCGTAAGCTTGGGAATTTGGAGGAGATTCATTCTTTGGCACAAAAGATGGATGCCATCAAGGAGAGAGTGGACGAACCAGTACGGATTGGGATAGTTTAATGTTCATTATTGGGATTCTGAGAGGTTGAGGACCAACAAACTGTAAGACAGAGAGGAAATTATCTCTGTCTGGCCCCAAAACAATTTCTAATCGGAATCTGGCGCCCTTGAGCCAGCAAGGCTCCAACGAAAACTCCCCCCTCTGAAGATATGTGGAATGTGCCGTCGCTACGGCAACTCAACTCTGTATACTTTCCCAGCCTGGGCGGGACTGCGGGAAGGCCGATGAAACGTTCCAGGGTCACTGCAACCCTCCAACCCTCAATGCTCCTCCCCCTATCCACACTGAGGTGACATGCGCTGCTTCTATCGTGGCTGCAGGAACTGAAGTAGGGATAGTCCCAACCCACCACCCCACTTAGTGGACACTTATGTTGTGTGAGGTCTGAAGTCTGTTGCATATCTGTCTGTTTGAGGTGTTTTTTTTGCAGAGCAAAGCTGCCCTCCTGGTGGGAGGGTAACTTTGAAGTAGAGCCCTGCACGGGCCTAAAATCTGAGCCCGTGTCCGGCCCAGCCCGAGGGGGTGGAGCCCCAGCCCGACCCGGCCCGAAAAGGTTTTCAGGATTCTCTGGCCCGGCCCGAGCCTGAGCCCGACTTTTTTTTTAACCAACTAAATGAAAACAAAGTGCGCCAATCCTGACCAATGTGTTAAAAGACGTGCAGGATCCGATCAATTTGTTTTTCCCTCGTTTACCATCACGGAGATAACGGCACACTGGCTCTGGTGGTAATCAAGTTAAATTTTATCTCTTTCCAACAATTTTCACAAGAAAACAAAACAGTCAAAAGCAGGGCTTGTGTTGACCGGACAGTTCCCGTATTTGACAGTTTATTTTGACGGAGAAAGATTAGAAAGAATTACCCCAGTGCATGCAGACGAACTGACATTTTATTTGTTACACACATCGCAGATGTAGTTAAATCACCCAAGAAAAGATTCCCATCTGAACATCTCAGCTGCTCAGCTTAGCTCGCTGTCAGAGCATATGTGCACAGCGAGCTGAAGTAGTGGAGAGGGGTTTGGAGCGCATCGCAGAACCAGAGCGCATGCGGGAAGGTTCCTCCCACTGAAGCGAGTGTTTTCCAAACCCTGTCGCTCAGAGAGACTTGTCACTTAGAAAATGTTCCCTGATTATGAAACTTTGGCTGAATAGTGCTTGTTCCTGTCTCCAATGTGGCGACACATCCAGGAGGAGACGCCCATCTCTTCAGCTCAGACAGCGCATATGATTACGCACAAGCGTGACCCGTCAACCCGGTCTCACAGTAAGACTGGGTTGGACCTGTTCAGGTTTACGCAGACAATCTTTACATAAAATTGACTTACAGATATAAAATTAATTCAGTAAAATATAAAGCATTTTATTTAAAGAGCAAGTCACCCCCAAATCACATTTTTTTTTGCTGATAAACTATATAAAGGAGTGTCTAATCATGCTACAGACACGTGTAGTCAATAATTTGGCAGTTCAGTGCATCTTGGTTAAAATTCAAATATTCTGCCTAAAACTGTCAGTGTTGCGCCGTCGTCAGGGAAAAATTCTGCACTGTATTTGAATTTAAATCTGCCACCGCTATTGGCTAAGAGGTATGCTATGATGTCATCTGGTAGATTATGATGTCATAATGCCATTGTGAGCCTGTGTGTGTGTGTGTGTGTATTTGTTAGCGGCTCCGCCCTCTCGGTCTGCCAAGCAACAGCATTTGTTGCATTTTTCAAACATGAAGTGGGAGTGAAGTAAGTTTATTGTAGGTGGTGACTTGCTCTTTAAATATCCATTCATTAATTTACAAGCACAGAGAGCCGCGGGTTGTGACATGTTTTCTCCAGGACCAGAGAGGACGCAAACTCGATGCATCTCTTTTATTGTGAGGTAATAATTTCTCCGAGTTTTGCGGTTGCGGGCGGGAGTAGACATGCACGCTACGGGTGCGGGCGGGAGTGTAACACACACGTTGCAGTTGCAGGCGGTAATTGTCAGAAATTCAGCGGGAGCGGGATAAAGAAAACAGCCCAGCGCAGGGCTCTACTGCTGCATTTGTGTTTCATTTTTTTAAATGAATTTGATTAAAAATAAGGCGCCGGGCCCGGCCCGTGTCCGAGTTGATTGCACAGTCGTTGGCCCGAAGCCCGGCCCGAGGGCTGTCGGGCCGGGCCGACCTGAGGGCCTAGGGCTTCAGTGCAGGGCTCTACTTTGAAGTGCCTTTTTTCCCTCCACCTGAACCATTCCTCATGTAACCCCTCTTATCTCTATTAAGGTAGCACGACTCAGGGTTGCGAATGACCACAGTCACCAATTCTTGTCATGTGTCTTGCCCATGTGTGTCTGATCTCTGAATTGTGTGTACTGAAACTCTAATTTCCCTCTGGGATTAATAATCTTTGATTGATTGATTGATTGATTGATTGATTGATTGATTGATTGATTGATTGATTGATTGATTGATGATTGGTTGATTGATTGATTGATTGATTGATTGGATGATTGATTGATTGATTGATTGGATGATTGATTGATTGATTGATTGATTGATTGATTGATTGATTGATTGATTGATTGATTGGATGATTGATTGATTGGTTGATTGATTGGTTGATTGATTGATTGATTGATTGATTGATTGGTTGATTGATTGATTGATTGATTGATTGATTGGTTGATTGATTGATTTATGTAAATAAACCAGTAATGTGAAATTAATGGGCATGTAAGTGTTTTTAAAACAATATCTACATCAACTGCAATGACTTTTTGAGATTAGAGTTGTTTTAAGACGGCAGAAACATTTTTGTATTGTTTTGTCAAGTTTTTTTAAAGAGCTAACTACAATAAGTAAAGCAATAATTGCTCATGCCCTTTGCACAGAAACACATCTCAAAATATCTGAATTGTCTGCAAAAATCACACAAAAATTGAATTTATCAATATTAAATAAGACATAATATTACTTTTTCTAAGTTGCATTTGTTCTATGGTCTACTAAAAACATGTTAATGATATCCATCCATTTTCTGAACCCGCTTGTCCATGCAGGGTCGTGGGGGGCTGGTGCCTATCTCAATGGGCAAACAGGTGGGGTACACCCTGGACAGATTGCCAGTCTATCGTAGGGCAACACAGGGACCCACAGGACAAACAACCATGCACACACACACACACACCTAAGGACAATTTAGACAGACCAGTTGACCTGACAGTCATGTTTTTGGACTGTGGGAGGAAGCCGGAGTACCCAGAGAGAACCCACGCGTGCACAGGCAGAACATGCAAACTCCTTGCAGAAAGATAGATAAGAGGACTGCAACCTGGGATGTGAACCCAGGACCTTCTTGCTGCAAAGCAACAATGCTAACCACTGCACAGACCATGTTAATAATGTTCTTTGCACAAAATTCCTCAGTTTCAGAACCCTGAAGAGTGAGTTGTTTCAGGGATCTGTGACTTTAAGAAAACAAGCTGTAGCTGTCCACACCCCCACCCCCTTGCTCAGGCTGCTATAAGCTAAGAAGCTCTGATATCCGCAAGGGGTTTGGAGTTGAGCGGCTGCTTCTCCAGCCTGGAGAGTTGAGTGGGATTTATGCTAATTTCCCCGTTTGTGCCATCACAAACAGGGACTTTTTCATACAGCTTGTTTTAGTTAGATAATTCCTGAACCAAACAATGACAGAAAACAAATGTTAGGATATGGGTAATTTTGTGATCTTAATGCAACACTAAAGAGTTTTTACCATTTTAAGCTATTGTTCTAAAATTGGTTTCAATGGTTCTTGAGCCATACATGAGCACTGGTGGGAGCTTTCTACCTGCTTTACGGTAATAGTTATTTACTGTGTTGGTAGCTAATAGAAAGGCTAAGTTAGTCTTTTCAGTTTTCAGACCGTCAATAAAAAGCACAATAAATGGCCTGTATTTGACATAGCGCCTTCTAGAGTCCTGGAACCCCTCAAGGCAGCACTTTACAACACAATCAGTCATTCACCCATTCACACACACATTCACACACTGGTGGGGATGAGCTACACTGCCACCACCGGTCCCTCCGACCACCACCAGCAGGCAAGGTGGGTTAAGTGTCTTCCCCAAGGACACAACGACAGCGACAGACAAAGCGGGGCTCGAACCTGCAACCTTCCGATTACGGGGTGAGCGCTTAACTTCTGTGTCATCGTCGTCCCTAAGAAGAAAACACATTTGGCACTTTTTGTTGCCACCATGGTGAAGCCTGGAAACAAAAGTAAGAGAGTAATGAGCAAAGAGCTAAACCCAGACTGAGCATTGACACAGCCTACACTCGTTTGAGGAAGCTAAAGGAGGATACAAAATCATGGACCATCACGGTGACCATGCATTTTTGCCACTGTCTGGACTTGTAGTAATAGTAATAGTAATTATCTAACTGTGTGAATCATTTTTCTGTGTCTTATTTTAGTATTTGTTGAATCCTGTTAGCGTTAGCTTGTTGTTTGCGCTAGCTACAACAATGCTAGCTGTAATTTCACTTTCAAAGGAGAGAAGCAGGAAACTTTAGTTGGCAGGCAAATGTTTGCCCATTAGTGTAACCATTCAGGAGATATGATGATGTACAATAAAATATTTATTGACATTACATTCTCCATGGACACAAAAATGAAAGACGACACACAAAAACAAAATCCCATAATATTCACCCAAATTCAAAACGTCTAGTAAATAAAAACCTAAAATGGAACAACATCAAATTATCAGTACAGTCTTTGATGAATAGTCTTTAGACTGGACAATGAGGTGAAATTGTAAAATATAGATGTGAAACTCCAGCAAAAGCTCAATCACCTCAATAAAATGAATCACGGTGATTTCAGAGCACTGGCCGACCAGTCATCATACAAATGCACATTACTGATAAATAAACACTTTGTCTTAGAGAGAAATATTTAATAATAATAAAAAAAGGCTTTGTGATGAATGTCACAAAGCATGAACTGCCATAATTTCCGCTCTTGGGTATTGCTGTTGTTGCATTTGTGAAATGCAGATGAGTGACGACACAGAATGTGAGATAGAAATAACCAGGGTCGCTGGATGAAATCCCTGCTGTCTGCTATTCATCCCTCTGCCCCTCCATTTACTCTTCTACCTCTCTCTCCTCTGCAAACGTCTGCTGTGATCCTGTCTTTCTCAGTCCAAACAGGTCACCGAGGCTCTCATCTTGCCAGTGTCTGTGCTGCAGAGGTGAGAGACCAAGAGGAAGAGATGCAGAAAAAAGCACAGATCGTAGCCAGTTCAGAAGCTGTGGCTCTCCGCACTGTTCCCTCTCTCCGCTTTATCTCCATGGTGCACACACGTCGACCTGGAGCAAGGCTGTATCCTGGCATGGGAGGCTAGAAACAGAAGAAGGGGGTGGATAGATGGGGATGCGGTGTGTTGTAGGGGGATAAAAAGACAAGCTGCTTCAATAGCGGAGCAGGTCCAGGGACTAATTGGATCTGGTAATGGCAGGTCAGTGTGACTGAAGGGCTCGTTAGAACCAGTACAGCTCCTTGCCTTTCTTGTGCTGTTGGAGGCCTGAGGAAAGAAAAAAGCAGGAGGACAATGAGGAGGACAATAGTGAACAACAGAACACAGGTTGTCATGGAGTCTACTCTAGCCAAACATCCTGTTTCAGAAGGGTGAAAAGAGGGTCTCTGTGATGATTATAGTGTGTGTGTGTGTGTGTGTGTGTGTGTGTGTGTGTGTGTGTGTGTGTGTGTGTGTGTGTGTGTGTGTGCGCACGCGCATAAGACCTAGATCATTTAACATATCTGCAGCTGTGCATGCATTTCATATAACTGAGAAAGTAATTAGATTATGAAGTGAAACAGCTGCAAGGAAAGGTTGCAAAACGATATTTGCAACTGCTTTCATTTCAATTTATTGTATAGAGTAATTCATATATCAGAAAAACATTTTATTTTTACTTTCTAGTCCGTCAGGAATGCATGGAGTCATCACTTGTGTAGGTTTAATCATGAACACATTCATAGATCTTTATTTGCAGTTTAAAGAGTCGATTGTATTTTGATTTTGACACCTAAAGACCACAAAAATGATGGAATCCATTTTTGCAAAAATGATTTTGTCACATTCAGCGTATGCGAGCATGCTCTTGTTTTGTTGTTTGGTCTTAAAGTTTTGCACTTCCACCATATCTGACAGTTAACCTGTTACAACTATTATGGTGTTTTTAAAAAGCTAACACACAAAAGCTTGTAAGGCTTGTCAAAAAAATAAACGCCCTCTCTGATGGGATTTTGCGTTTTCGTAGCAGATTTCTTTGTTTAGAAAACATGGACAGAAAGGGTTGTCCGTGTTTTTTTCACACCTAAAACGCTCATCTCTATCACTAACATACACCGTGACTGTGGTCTGCTAAAAATTTGAACTCTGGATATTTTAGGCTTTACATGGTCAGAAAACTTTAGCTATAAAAATAATGGTGATTTGAGTTTCACCCAAAAATTACTTAAAAACATATAAGAATGGGAACTTTGGTCAGGTAAACACCGTTCATAATAATCAAAATGCACTGAAAGTCCTTTGATGCTCTTATTTTGAAAAATAGCATTTCTAGTGTGTTTTTTCTCTAAGGGGGGAATAAATGCAGTGCAAGAACAACTAATAAATCATTTGTATTATTTATAAAATGTGTACAAAAAAGCCAAACGCTGTTGAGTACCTGCATCCATGTTGAGAGCCAGGGTCTGGCTAACGTCTCCAGGGGGAAGTAGACTGGGCCAAGAGGTGGGGGGCTCCAGCTTGCTCACTTCGTAGTGACTCGGCAGGGCGGATAGATGAGGTGGTCTCACGGTGGGCATGAGCAGGCCCCCGTAGTGAGGTTCCAAAGCCGACGGTGAATACAGTTCATGTAGAGGCCGTGGAGGGCCATATGCTTGGGCCTGGGGATACCCCCAGCTCTCTGCTGGGTGAGGGTTGGCGTGAGGATGAGCGTGTGGGTGGGGATGAGCGTGTGGATGCGGCAGGCCTGGATGTAGCCCTGACGTGTAAGGGTCCATGGAATAGGAGGGTGTGCTCGTCTCGCAGTGGGGGCGGCTCTGAGGTGAGGAGTAGTTGCTGTCCCAGAAGGATGGGGGGAAGCTCCGTCGGCTGCTCGGTGAAGGGGTGTCTAATGGAAAAAAGGAGGCAGAAGAAAGAATAAAGAACAGATCAAAGGAATCACGAAGAGTGGCGTGACCTTTTTAGTGCATTGTTTTATTTCACCGAAGCAAAAGGATGAGATGAGGCAGCAGGAGCTAAAACCTACATGTCACTCACATGACTGCTACACCCTCTGGCCCAGATATCTTCCCCATTGGGTCATACTGTCACAAGGCCCTAGTCCCAACAAGACACAGAAATAAACACGGCAGACAGACACAAAGTAGAAAGAGAGATGCCCCTGTATCCTAAAACTCTATAAAAGGTAGACGCTGTAACCTGGAGGCAGCCCAAGGCCCGCTGAGTGTTAAATCACCCGCTATGGTGACACCGCTCACTTTTATGTCAGCTCAGTTCTCTTGAAAGTCTGAAACACACACACAAGTAGTTCTGACCCTACACAAGCACCCGCCGACCCTCTCTTCTGTCTCCACCCCCACCTGTTGTTTTTTCTGCCCCCTCCCTTTCTCTCCTTGCCCTTGCCAGGCAACGCATTTTTCACCAGTTTCATTTCATATTTAGAGATTCCCGTGAAAAATAAGTTTCCCCCCTCGCTCACTTCGGCTACACTGACAACAACATTTATTAATCTGAGGAGGAGACAACCATCGTGGGGCAAGAGTTGGAGCGAGAGTCAGAATGGCAGCCGGGGAGATGTTTGAAGGGGGATATGCCAGCGAGGCTGTGCGCTTACGGCCGTGTATAAACATAGCATCTGTTGTGAGGCAGGGAGCGTGTGCTGGTGCCGAAATGAAGACGTTCAGCTGGACAAGAAAAGAGACTACAGAGACAGCGCAGCGAAGGGCAGCGTGGGGCTGCAGGCCCCTACAAGGAAATCTGAGGGATATCCTCATACTGATGGTGGAAAAAGACCTTCGGAGATCTTTGGTGCAGTTAAAGACACGTACAGTTTTAATGTAGCCTTATATTTTTAACTATGAGAAATTATCCAACTGATAAAATCATAAGATATCAGAATTGTCTGTATAGACTGAGAATATAGCATTATGTGAGGAATGCTTCCGACCGGACCCTTTTAGACGTGACACACTTCAAGCCTGATCCCTTTAGAGTGAAAGAAATTAACTATGGGTGTTTCTCAATGTCAAGGAACCTTGCCTTGATGTCCTGGCCCCGCCCCGGTTGCCTAGGAGATGCGTCATCAGGAGCCGCCAAGGTGTGTTCCATTCGGTTCCTATGTTCATGTTCTACCGCGGCATGTGTTCTCTGTTTGTTAGCCGTTTAGCTAGCTGAGCAAGGACACACGGGAGGTGTCTTGTAGCCTAGACTTGGTCAAAAATTACCCACAACACACCGCGGTATTTTCAAAAAGACGCCGGATCAGAAGCTGGCAGCTACTTCGGGGACAAATTTCAAGTTAAAAGTAAGTCAGCTAATTTTAAATGTTTTTTTTTAGATCCAAGGAAGTTATCAATTGTTGGTTAGTTGCTTAGCAGTTGCAGCTTCGGCGGCTAGTGGGTTGTAATTTGCATATATTTTTTATTTAATAAACATATACACAATTTAAAAAGTAAAAGGCTTGTTATATATTTATATTGAAACTAATACATATAAAATATAATGTTATCTCCTGTGTCACGTGACGTTACGTGACTGCCGTGGAAGCCGCGGTCACGTGATGCAAGTCTGTTCCATTTAACCGTTTTCGTTGACCAAAGGACAGTGTCCTTGTAAGCAAGGCGCCTGGCCTCGCAAGACATCACCTCGCAAGGCAAGGCGCCTTGACACTGAGAAACACCCTATGTGTTTACTTGATAATTACCTCTAGTATTGTTAAGCTAACATGACTTTGTTGTGATTTTATTTATTTATGTTAGCATCACTAGTGCCTATTAGCATTGGGCAGCGAATTATTAGCTAGAACTTTTTATAGCAATGTTTTAAAGACCAAGTTCACTGAGAAACTGTTTTCTATTTGTTATTTGTGAAATATGATCGGTCACTCTGAGTTTCACGTGCAGGCTGAACGTGAAAATACTCTTCTGCCCTTATTTCCTGCATTAGTCAGCAATGAAAAATTGATGAGGAAAAGTTTGGATTAGGTATACGTCACAGTAAAAATTACCATTCATGGTCTCACCTGTCTTGGCTTGTAACAAGGAAGGTGGTTGTTGATTTAGCATCCAGGAGAGAGCACCTTGGCTAGTAGTAGCTAATTGTTAGCATTAGCAACTCCAAAACATGCATGGCAGAACTCTTTCAGGATTTGGTTGTATGTGGAGATAAAACATCAATGTTGCAAAGCAAACGACGTCAGTGGTGGAGTCAAGTTGCTGTTAGCCAATCAGAGGCAAGATGTCCAAATACCAGGAAATGAGACTCCAAATCATGCCGTGCTCTGCTCCCTTCTGCAGTAGCTCACTGCCACTTCCTGAAACAAGAGCGCCAGAGCTTTTTTTCTCACAGAGATCGACTAACAAGGCATTTATACTAGAGATGACTGCAAACGTATTGAAAAAAAGAATGTGTGAACTTGGTCTTTAATATGAGGAAATGCTCTAAAATTACAATTTATACAGTAAATTATTAGGTGCAGATAGTTCAGAAAATCTCGAATCATCATTTAAAAAATCTGAATCAGAAAAAAGTAAATCTTTCTTGGCTGATAGGAAGCTGGCTTCCATGAACAACCACTCTTACATCCTCTATCACCTGATCACATTACCTGTTGGACCCTCTGCACAAGTGTCAGCTCATGGGGTCCAGAAACCTTCTCACCAGAAGTGGGCCAGAGTGGTGGAGTGGTGGATTTCAGAAGGTTTCTGGTTTCATCTTCACACACATGCAAGAAGCAAAAGGTGTCCCTGTAACTAAAGGGGCAGTGCCATACCTGTGCCCTGTTGGTCTGATGCCCGCCGCTTGCCCTCTCCATCCATGTAGGAGCTGAGGGCTCTGGAGAAGTGCTCGTCCACCACGCTGCTGATGTCTCCATGGTAGTAGGTGAAGAGGACACAACGAGAAGTCAAATACTCTGCTTCGGGCGCCTCCTGCTTCTCCTTGGGTCCGTCTGCTGGCCTTGATGATGTGGAGGTGTAAGAGGAAGAAGAGCTGGATGAAGATGAGGAGGAAGTCGATCCTCCCGTGCCTGGGCCCCCAGACATCCCTTCAGGAACGCTGGGAGTGTCCATTAAATCCCGACTGTGGGGCGCAGTGCTGCTCAGACCTGTAGGAGCCTGTCAGGAGGGGAGGAGGTCAGTGAAAAGGGGGGAGGAGCAGGGAGAGGGTGAGGACAGGTGTTGCACAGGGCACTTCTGGAACTGAAAAAAGACATTTTGACATATGGCATTTCTTTGTGTGGTAGTGTCGGCGTGCATGTGCACAAACACGCGTGCACAAAATGAGATAATATTGGAAGACAAAAATTAAAGACTTGAAAAATATTTCCAATAATTCATACAATGTTGAATAACCTACTTTAAATAAAAGCTGGTTGTTTGGTTTTACGCACAAATCGATTTAACCGTTTAATCCTAATATCTATTAATCTTATTCGTCTAAATAACTCGGGTTTTCTTTTGGAACTAGTTCATTTCAACGGAACATTTACAAATGTGCTGATTCCCTTACCTGTAAGCTGTTGATAAATGCAGGAGCAGTCGGTGCGTACTGTGCGTAACGTCCATAGGCTGGGTACACAACATCCAAACAGCTCATGGTAAATGAGCGGTGTCCTCACTGCTCTGCTGAATCCGACCTCAGACAGCGGGAGCGCGACAACATCCCGTCTAGTTTAGAGTCGAAGTGAAACTGGCTCAGTGCTCTGCTCGCTGCCCAGCGTGAGAAAGCCCGTGCCAGATTTGACATAGTCACTACAGAAAGCGCGCACCTCACCGACTTCCAGCGCGCCCCACAACAGCTGCGGCAGCAAAACGTGGTGAGGTTTATGAAGCGAGCACAAGGGGGTCCTGTCCTGTGCATCGAAGTCAACCCCTCCTACCTTCATCCCATCCACATTAATCACGTCCGCCCTATCATTTAACGCTTAAAAGCAAACTGATTCATTCAGTTCACTTGAGAAATTGTTTAAGGATGGAAGTCAACTGCAGGGATGTGAAAGGGGATTTTCTCCCTCACCGATGTCTCTGCTTTAGCGTTTTTGTGTCACACCTAAATGTTTCCAATCAGCAAATACATTTCATCAGATAAAAACATGACCTGAGTAAATGTAAAATGCAGTTTTAGCTGATTTTTTTTTTCATTTATTAAGCGAAAAAACTGTCCAAACCAACTTAGTCATTTAAATTTTTTCCTCATTCCTAAATGGCACGTTTTGTGACTTAAAATGTTATAATAGTTACATGGAAGTTATTTTCATTAAATCCCTTTCACACAGAACACTTTACAAAACAGATGTTTTTTTTTTCTTGACATTTTCAGTACCTTCCAGAATGAGTCGTTTCAGGTCACTGTCTTTTAAAGAAAACAAGCTGGAGCTGCCCGCGCCCACCCATCCCTGTTTAGACTGCTAAGCTGAAAAGCTCTGATATCTGGTGGGAGGGGCTCAGAGTAGAGCAAATGCTCCTCCAGCCTGAGGTAAGGAGGGGAGGGGGGTGCTATAAACATTTGAAGCTATGACTTTTTGGAACAGCTTGTTATAGGCATATAGTTCCTGAAAACTGACAGAAGAGGGATGGGTTGGCTTATGTTGTGTTTCAAGTGTTCATAGAAGCAGTAGCAGTGTGTGTGTGTGTGTGTGTGTGTGTGTGTGTGTGTGTGTGTGTGTGTGTGTGTGTGTGTGTGTGTGTGTGTGTGTGTGTGTGTGTGTGTGTGTGTGTGTGTGAGTGTGTGTGGATATATAGTCTGGCCACAATCCACAGATGGATCTCAGTGATGGGCTGGAACTACAGTGCCAGTTTTAGGTCTCTCCAGAGATGCTCCATTGGGTTTAAGTCAGGGTCTGGCTGGGTCATTCAAGAACAGTCACAGAGTTGCGTTGAAGTCACTCCGTCGTTATTTTAGCTGTGTGCTTAGGGTCATTGTCATGATGGAAGGTAAATCTTCGGCCAAGTCTGAGGTCCTGAGCACTCTGGAGAAGGTTCTTGTCCAGGATATCCGTGAACTTGGCTGCATTCATCATTCCCTCAATTCAGCTACACTGACAGCAACATTGCAACCATTGCTATCAATTGCTGTCCCTGCAGCTGAAAAACACCCCACAGCATGATGCTGCCACTGTCATGCTTTACTTTGGTGAATGTATTGGACAAGTATTGGACAAGTGATGAGCAGTGCCTGGTTTTCTCTGTGATATTTCAGTTTGTCTTTTTTTTCTAACTCTGCATACATTTCTAAAATGCTGTGTTTTTCTGTCAATACGGGGTGCTGTGTGTACATTAATGAGGAAAAAAACACATTTAATTGATTCTGGCAAACGGCTGCAATGTAACAAGGAATGAAAACTTGACAGGGGTCTGAATACTTTCCGTACCCACTGTATGAATATCTTTCGTGCTGTCTCTGCATGCTATTAGATAGTGAACAGCATGGCATACTCACTGCTACAGATCAGGCAGTCCGCCGTATACTGTTGAGGAAGATGCAAATACACCATTTTTCAACAAAGGAATTAAAGGAGTTAGATCACGCTATTTTAAGCCTTTGAGAGCAAAGGTAGGTGCGGTGTATGATACGATGGTACTGTTGGCATTACTGAGATGTAATTTATCGTAAATATGAGTTACTTTCTTCAGCCTGAATTTATACCCGGAAATAAAACAGTTCATTCAGTGAAGCTCCGCCCACCCCGACAAAACGCAGTTACAAAGCGTCTTAGGCCAGCCTGCTGCTATACTATTTTGCTAGTGCAGTGCTTTAAGCACCTGCCTTTCATCTAGTTTTGTCACATGCTGACATCGTTTTGATTCTCGGTGTCATCAGTAAATTATTTAGCCAGCTGAAGTAGATTTCCTTTGTTTATATTTTAGTTTTGTTGAATATTTTCAGCAAAATATTTTGTGTCTCTAAAGATCTTTGAATTTGGTCATTTCCAAACAGCATTTTAGTTGATACTCTGCTCACCTCACACTCACACTGGCTAAATAAACAAAGAAAAGTAAAAAAAAATGTTTTTTAATTAGTCCTTATGAAGAAAATTGTTTATGTCGCAACCAGCAAGGTGAACCTGTTCAAAACTACATGCCAGCCTGGCGCTCTGAACTACCGACTCCGTTATTAAATATTAGTCGCCTAAGACATATCCTGAGCTCGCCATTATGTGTTCATGTGGACAGGATGCATGGTTTTTACGGTGGTGTTTCCCCGATGCAGAAGTAATTTGTCAGAGTATCTAGGTTTCAGAACAGTGACCACCGGCTTCAGGGAGAAGAGAAATGGCTGATGGCGCAAATAGTTTTCATTCAGGCATTTTCAGTATTTTCAAAATCTCTAAATTTGCAGCTTATAAAGGAAAATGCACGAATACAGCCAAAAATGGATTTGGTGGTTGTTTTCATGAGGAAATAACAATATCACATATAAGCTCAAAAACGTGGAATTTCCATGATATGGCCCCTTTGAGAACCTCTATCTGCTCTTAACTTAAAGAAAAGGGCAATTCTAAATTGTCAAAAGTTGATGCCAAAGCCATTTCAGCTGAGCTGTCCCGATCTTAGTTTGGCTCAGTCGCAAAATATTCTGCCCACCAAACCACTGCGATTGGCACACCACTGGTCTATGCTGCGGAGGTTCCAAAGGAGTGTTGCTAGACCGATATGCAGAGCAAAATCCTTTTGCTTCTCCTACTGTCTGTCTGGATGTCTAGGCTAGTTGAGATCCGCATGGCAGCACAAAAGGATGCAAAAGGTGAGTTTTGCATAATATCCATCCATCCATCCGTTTTTGGTTGCTTATCCAGAGTCGGGTCGCGGGGGCAGCATCCTAAGCAGGGAGGCCCAGACTTCCCTTTCCCCAGCCACTTGGGCCAGCTCCTCCAGGAATCCTAAGGTGTTTCCTGGCCAGCCGTGAGACACAGTCTCTTCAGCATGTTCTGGGTCTTTCTTTAGGCTTTCTCCCGGTTGGATGTGCCTGGAAAACTTCAACAGGGAGGTGTTCAGGTGGCATCCAAATCGGACGCCCGAGCCACCTCAATTAGCTCCTCTCAATTTGCTGCAGATCTACTCCGAGCTTCTCACCCTATCTCTAATGGAGAGCCCAGCCAACCTGCAGAGAAAAATCCTTTCAGCCACTTGCATCCACCATCTCCTCTTTTCAGTTACTAGCTCGTGACCGTAGGTGAGGGTTGAAACGTAAGTCAACTGGTAAATCGAGAGCTTTGCCTCCTGGCTCAGCTCTCTCTTCACCACGACAGACCGATAAAATGCCCGCATCACTGCAGATGCAGCACCAGTCTGCCTATTGATCACTCGTGAACAAGCCCCCGAGATACCTGAACTCCTCCACTTGGGGTAGGACCTCATTCCTGATCCAGAGAGGGTGTTCATATTGTCTGGTGACCAAAAAACCTCAACGGCCCATTCCAGTTTTTCCTAAACTTCTTGATGATCCCCAAGATGGATGAATCAAAACTGGAACTTTTTGAAAGGTGAGTTTCCCAACACATCTGCTGTAAAACTAACTGTTTTTCAAAGCACAAACATCATCCTAACAGTCAAACATGGTGGTGGTAGTGTGATGGTCTGGGGATGCTTTGTTGTAACTGATGGAACCACAAATTCTAGTTACTAGCAGAAAACCCCGAAGGAGAATGTCTGACCTTGTTAGAACCATTAGGTTCTAGACACATTTACATTTTCACACAGGACCAGATTGGTCCGGAGGACTCCTACGCCCTGTCAAATTAAGTCATCATTTGAAAACTGCCTTTTGCTTTTACTCAGGTTTTCTTTGGCTGACAATGGAATTTGTTTGCTGATTTGAAACATTCAAGAGTGACAAAAAACTGCAAGAGAGCAAATATTTTTCAAAGCTCTATTTCATACTAAAAATATAATTAATACCAAGGTATATGAGTCCAAAATTCCCACTTTGGTTTAAAAATATGTAAAGAAATGTGTATAAACCTTATTTCTAGACCCACAACTTATGATTCCTGCTGTGAACTATGGTTAAATATTAGGTCATCTTCACAAATAGATTTGGATGAAGTCACTCAGCTAACTAGACCATAACAATGAGTGCAGTTCTGTGCCTTTTTATTTCTTCTCTATGCACTTTGGATACTTGAAAACTTTGTGCTCAGTCCAAGCTGAAAGGGTATCCATGGTCTTAAAAAAGCCGTCGGTTGCCAAGTAAACCCTTAAATCATCTAAAGTATTTAGTGGGCTCCCAGTGAGACACATAGGTGTCAACTATAGGTTGCATACACTGGTCATACCAGCAAGGAGGAGAAAGGCACTCTGCACAAATCTATGACAAATTATCACCTATCAGCAGTGCAAACAAAATACATTTTCACAAAGAGACACAAAAAATCATAGGAACTAAAATAGCAGTGGGTTTATTTTTGTATTCAGACACAAAAAAATAAATAAATGTTGACATAAAACACTTTTTTATTGTTTTCACTGTTTCTCTTGGTTGGAGGAGCCTGAGTTTTAGGCATGCCAGTCTTTTTGACAGGCACTTTAGCATGCTTGTGAGAATAGTGTGGAAAATTTGCAGAATTCCAAGGATGAGTGTCAGATGAGGTGGAATGTCTCTGAAGTATGCTAGTGGACGAGCTCCTTGGGAAGTTACATGGTCCCTCTGCTGCGTTCTCTAGATAGAGAACATGACCAACAAGTCCATGTGCATACATCGCACATAGTGTGGATAACTGCAGGCTGAATTTTGGCAAGTTAATGAATCAAGCATGCTTTTGAAGAAAAGAGAAAGCTAACAACTGTTGTAAAGTATTAATTTAATGTTTTATTGCGAGGTTGGCTTGCAGCACCAATAAAATGGTAAAAAACTGTCTGAATTATGAGGAAATTGTGCAAATATACTTAAATGATTGGAAGCTGGTCTCGCTCCTGCTCATTTCTATTGGTAAGAGATGGACCAATGGATTTGTATGTATGCAGGGTAAAGCAGGACAGCAGAGGACTCAGGGGAAAGAGAGTGATGCAATGCTAGAACGACCACTGTTACACCAGCGTGATCAACAGCTGCAGCTGACGGAACGGAAGGGAGGTCACTAAAAGTATTATTGGCCATGACTACATTTCTGTCTCTCTCTTTCTGTCTCTGCCTTTCACTTGTCTTTTCTTGCAATCAAGTAAAGGCACCCTTTCCCCGTTTGTCCAGTAAACATCGATGCACACATGGAAATGCATCAGCAGGAGAACTTGCAGGGACATTTGCTCTCATCGCCTAACAAGAATGAAAGTCCACCAACGTGCAGGAATACAACAGTCGCGACATTTACCAAAACCTTAGAACGCTAAAACTTTTTAACGCTAATCCGATTATCTCTCGTGCGATCCCGTAAGCAAAGCGTGTGTGAAGTCGTCTACGTTTACGGCTCAAAATAAACACAGGTTACATCATTCCTCGTGACCCTTCAGCAAACCCCCACCCCCATTAAAAGAGGACTGACCAGGCAAGGTCTCTCATTGGCTGAGATGTTGCAGGCCAGTTGAGGTAATAATGGCAGCTCGATTTTATTTAGCACACTATTCGAATTGCAACAGCCCTATTAATAGCATATATACTTTGCTAGAAGTACCTGAGTGCCATAAAAGAAAAACAAACACAGGTGTTACTGCTAACCTTTTAGAAAAATCGTCATCACTTATCAGGATAAAGCTGTTAGCATCAATGTGTAAAGGGATTGCAATTTGAACCCCAATCCATATAAGCCGCCTCCTGAAACAACAAGTCCTTTATTAAGGTCTCAGAGCGGCTCAGCCCCAAGAGGGTTGGACCTTGGGATTCCACTGTTGTTTATGTGGTGCAGTGTGTGCATATGTCCAAAAGAGAGACGTACAGCTGCCTCGTTGTCCGCTTCCACACAAACTCATCTCAGCTGTTCAGAATCGTCACCCGGAGTCATCGGAAAGACACTCTGGCACACAGGCACTCACAAAGGGCCACATATGGACAGGTCTGGCTCATTCAAGCTTCCACACAAATGTTGGTGATAAATCCTCTCTGATAGGATATGCAAGTGTGCAGCTATTTTCTTTCCCAAACAGACTCCGTATTGTGCTTGCAGACCACCGGGATACCCGAAATCCAGAAGTCGGACAAATCTAAAGCAGTTGCATTTGAATTGCTCTTTAATGAGGGATTATGTAGTTTTTTTTTTACCCCCCAACACACACACACACACACACACACACACACACACACACACACACACACACACACACACACACACACACACACACACACACACACAAATACTACAATAAAAAGTATAAATACCTTTAATACATTTCTAAGACCTCTACCTCTTATCAGGATTAGTACGTTCCTCTGCAGTTCACATTCTAGTCTCTGGTGGAGGACCTGAAAATGTGGCAAGTGCTAATTTTAGAATTTTAGAATTTGATAATTACTCAGTATTCTAAATTAAATATGTATTATTTGATTGAAATGGAATAAACAGTTTTTGATTATTTTACGTATGAATCAATAAAGAACTTATTTTGTATTTTACGTGTTTCACAGGAAGTTTATTTTGAAAAAGCTGTAGCTCTTCTGTAACTCTTGTTACTTTGAAAATTTTGAAACTTTCCTGCAAGTTTTTGTTGCGTCCCTGGTCTGAAACATGTTATTCAATGGTTGAATTACCTTTTCAGCAAGTCCAGGTGTGCATAAACCTGATATGTCATGAAACCTACTGGATATTTGCCTTCAGTGACCAGAGTTAGTCTCCTCCAGCTCAGATGCAAGTGCAGAATCCTACAGGTCAAATATATTGCATTTTGAGTCACTCCATTTAAATCCTACTCAGTATCTTACAGATTTTTTAATGAAACCCCAACCCTAACCGATTCAGAACTAAATGGAGTGATACTGCATGCTGAATATCACAAAACACAAGTAATGTGTAGTTTTTAGTAATATGTTATAAGGTTCATATCTTCTTTTGCAGAAAATAAATATATTTTTGTAGAAGATCATCATATGAAATGAAAGATTTTTCCATTTTTTAAATAACTGAATGAAAAACATGTGTTTGGCTCTAACGTGGTCTTTTTATTGGTCATAATTTTGCTTCAAAGTTTTTTTGCAAGTTTGCAGAAATATTCTGTAAAAGCCTAAAATAATGTATTGTTGCAAATGTTCTTAAATTGACATGGATTTGACAATTATTTACTTAAACCAGGTTTAAATACCTGATTCTCTTTGCTAAAGGACACATAAACAGCAAGAATTTTGATTTATTATCAAATACACATTTTATGTGTATTTTTATCCATTAAATTAAAATAAATAGTGTTTAAAATGTTTGTCACATGCCTCAAATCCTGCAACTGTGGAAGCCCCTTCCCGCCACTACTATTAAAAAAATATAGTTCTCATAATTATGACTTAGCTTCTCATAATGAGATACTACCTCATTATTATAAGATAGTATCTCATTATTATAAGATGCATTTTTTATCAGAGAGGCAGGAATGGGCTTCCGTAAAAAACAAACAGGAAAGCCTCAATTAAAGCCAACTTTGTCTAACTGATAGAATGTGACGGAAGCGCATCCCCAAAGAGGCTGACGAGTGCTACATTCCCGTTAGGGCTCGGCTGACACCCTCCTGCTGAGTTTCTGAAATAAAATTCACATATTGAACATAAACACACGGAGATCTTTAGAAATCAGACTAATATGAGAAAGGTGCACACACAAAGAGCTGATCTGTGAACGTGTGATCGTCACCTTCTCTGGTTCTGCTTCATGCCAGAGGATGAAGCAGTTAGAAGGGCATCACGGGTGACAGCAAGGCGGAGGGGAAATAATGCGAAGGGTGGAGTGAGGGCAGAATCACAAATGTGGAGTGTCACATGGTCAAACAGAGAAGATTTACAGCTGATCGGGTTCCTCATCAGCGACATGGTGTTGTGGTTTCAGAATGCCAGGTATGGAAGTGAGATCAGACTCTGACTTTAGTCTCTGCACTTTTCTTGTGACTGCAGCCAGTGTGAGCGGCCAAACGTGGCTGCACCACTGGCTGCGTGGCACTGTGGATCTGTTCTTGCTTCAAAACCTTTAGTTTGCAATAAAAATGTGAAAAACCAGTGCAGTTAAAGATGTAAAGTGTCTTTTGGTTTCAAATTCAAAAAACTAAACAAAAATCAGAAGGTTAATTGAAGAAAAAGATAACTAAAAAGAACAATATTTTAAAATATTTGCTTCTTTTTTCCCCCTCCTCACACTCAGGGTCTGTGATTTACTCACCGGTGAAATCATGGAGACCACAGCTATTTTTATTGGATGGTACAGAGCCAGCTCCTTTACGTGCTATGCCACCTGTCCAATCCACACCAGTCAACAAGCCCCAGGAGGGGGAAAAATCAAGCACCCAAAAATGATTGAGAGTTGAAATGGAGAATATGATATAAGCATGCCATGCTACTGTCCTATGTTTCACAAGTCAAATGTCCTGTCACTACTCCTGGACTGCATTCTTTGTTCGCTCCCTAGCAGCAGACAGCTGATTCATTTCACACAACCTGTGATTTATCAAGATCTTATATCCCCTCTGCTGATGCACCCATTTAACAGATCTGCATGCACATATGTACTTTAAATAAAAATCAGTTAAGGAGTTGTTTGTCCTTGTTCTCCCTTGCAGAGATGGCATGTGTTGGTGGTGAGTGAACATGTGTGTGAGTGTTTTATGGTTGAGAGGGGCACAGGTGGTGTTATTCCTGTCTTTGTGTCATGTGTTTTTAGGTATAATTTAGTCACAGGCCATGCACAAGGGGTTGAGGGTGTCACTAGGTCACCCCAATCGTTTGTGATGCATCTTAGGTTAATAACAAATATAGATTATTCAAAGTTTAAAGATTATGTGAAGTTTTTTATATACTTTATAAGAAAAAGTAATTACTCTGGTTCTGCACACAAAACAAGACAAATATCTTGAAGAAGAGTAAATGAGACGTGCAGTAACTTGTTAATTGTACTTAAAGTCTGCAATACGTTCTCTGTAAATCAGACGTATTTCCTTCATTTCAATTAGGAAAGAAAAAAAGAGAAATCATTGATGTTTGATTCCACCTTGTGGCACAACTATGTAAAGACACTTTGAGTGTTTTTTAAACCATTATTTATACATTTATTTTGTATTTTCATACAATCAGAAAAATAATGTTACTTTCCTCTGTCTTAAGTTTTATACCATACCAGCAGCATATGTGCTCCACTGGAGCAGGTTGAGGTCATGAAGTTACATCGCTTTATCTAAAACAAAATGTCCAGGTGGTTGTAGATATAAAATGAGTTTGCAGTCCAGATTCATGGCTGAACGTCCAGTGCAACTTCCAAAACACTAATCGTAATATAAACATAAAAATTTCCAAGAAATTTATCAAATAACATTACATTCCCTGACATATATTTTAGAAAGAGACAGCATCTTTAATCCAAAATAATTTGATTATCTGGGATTTATTTGTAAATTTTAGATTCAAATATTTAACCACAAACAATGGAAATCTGTTTAATCATACTTTAAACATTTTTCATTTGTCGTGTAACCCATATTCGTCTATGGGTGTCTCGTTGTGGTGTGGTTCTCCTCCTAGTCGCTAGGGGGCGCGCGTTTAGTGTAAATAAAGGTCTTGGTGAGTTGACGAGGGCCGCCCAGCCATGTTGAGGAGTCTGTCATGCAAACTGCTGCCCGCCATTGTGTAGAAACCAGGCTCTGTAGAGATAAGGGCGCTTGGCTGAAACTCTGCAATAGCTAGGTTAATTTCTACGCCCTGCCGCTTTTATTTAGGAGCAAAAACAGTTACAAAGACTCCGGGGGGGAAAGACATGTCAGCCAGCAGCCTCCTTGAACAGGTAAAGAGCGGCATTTTCTGAACATTTACGAGGGGCCAAATTTGCCAGCATCGCGACGGCTAGCGCAGATAGCTTGTAGCTCAGAGGCAGCGGCTCAGTAGTGCAGTAGGCCTGACCACCTGCTAAAGGAACTGACTGCTGAAAATACATCTCTTCATCTATTTTTCCCCTTCCTCTCTTCTCATAAATCAAACCTTCATGAATCACCTGGACCCAATCCAGAGACCGAAAGGCCAAGCTAACAAAGGTAAGTGTGGCGTTGTTGACCCGGGTCGGTGTGAATGCGGATCTTTTTTCGTGCTGGTGCGCTTTTAAAATGTTGCGAATGATGTTAGCTTTGCTGGGAATAGGCCTGCCTGTGTTACGTCGTAAACATTTTTTCATTTAATTTAGCAGCTGAATTAAACACCGCAACAGTTTTCGTCTAAAAATATTCTTGTGTATTTAAACACACATTTTAAAACGCTCTTAACATCACACAAGTAGCAGACGTAGAAGGCGTCCTGACATGCTAATGTTAAATGGCAGAATGATGCACGCCCCGTCGTTTCCCCTAGTTATTCGGTGCGCGTTTTTTCCAGATCAACAGGTGTGAGGCCAGCGTTTTTTCTCTCCTTCACACACCGCAGGAGTCCAGATCAGGCGCTTTGACGGTTTTCAGCTGCAGGTGGGTGTCCTAAACCAGGTCCGTCCAGCTTGAAGGGACGCTTGGCGCTCGGAAACATGCAGCTGACCACATCATTAGCGTGCTAACCATGGTGCTAACGTTAGCCGCTGGCTAAGTTAACCTTAAATGACACGTCTTCTGACACGCTTTTCCTGGTTTTTAACGTTCTCATAAAGCGCAAAACGTTAGCGTAAAATAGTTTGTATCTGATATTGTCCCGTTTCTGATTTTAAATCGACTTTAGCTGATTCTCAGGCTTTCAAAGCTTAATACAGGGTTGCAAACGTGACAATAGTATGAATCAACTTGTAACTTTCTACTGTATTAATCTGTGGTATGAGTTTAAGAAAAAATAGCTTCTAGATTAATTAATCTTGGTTTCCATTGTAATCATTTAGTTGTTTTTATTCAGGAATGTTGAGGTGTGCCAAGGGTCCTTTTCTAACCCAAAGCCTTTTGATGTTGCTGACAGGATTCAGTTATTTTTTAATGCATCGACTTTCTTTTAATCGAAACCATCTGTTTTGAAGCATTTACTAATTATGCCCATTTCATTTTCAGTAGATGTACGCTCACCTGATATGAGCCTGCTCAGAAATCTGTACACATGATTTACACCAGTGTTGTTTTTATATCTTCAGTGCAAAACGGAGCCGTGACCCAAAAGGATACTTTGAATGACGATGAGTTTGAGCCTTACCTGAATACTCAGGCCAGACAGGTAAGCATTTGACAAATGTTCTTGTCCACCTGGATTGGTTTGATCACAACAGTAAATACTCAGAATACTCTTCTGTGTTTTTATTTTTGGATCAACTAATGAAAGGAGCGGTCACTTGCTAAATACCCTGGTGATGATTGTGTTTAAATTAATGTCCCAAAAATCTTCTTTTTATTCTAAAGCTAAATAAATATTTGATATACTCCAGGATTGTTTTGTTAGCCTGATTTCTTTTTCTTTTTTTGTGGGGAGTCACCAAACCAAAAATGAACAGAAGAAAGTTGATCCAAAAATATTTTTTTAAGTATTTTATTTATTTATTTTTCAGTATTAGGTGTGCAAAAATTCTACACAACTCCTACAAGTTTAAAACTTGGGTAGGATTTCCTATTAGTTTTACTATCCTTCAGGCCTTAATGTGAACAGTGTGCAAATTTTGGGTTTTGGTGTTCTCTTAGAAATACGGGAAACTTGATGGATGAGTGTGTGACTCCTGTTTTCAATGGCCTTGACTTTTATTTGTCTTTAAGTGGTAGGTGCTATTCCCCCGTGAAAAAAAGATTCACCCTGAAGCACTGAGAGAAGTGCACCTTGTGTTTAGACATAGCTCATGATTCAGTAATTTGTTTGAAAAATAGATGTATTCTTACTTTCCATAAAGCCTTTTATCAACTTTTCTGCGCTAATCTTTGGCTTTTAAATCAATATTTACAAAAACTGATTGTTTTAACATGGCTGAGGATGGATTTAATTTGAAAGACTTATCATAACTTGCCACTAAAACTGTAATTTCTCTCTCTAGAGCAATGCCTATACGGCCATGTCAGACTCGTACATGCCCAGCTACTACAGCCCCTCCATAGGATTCTCCTACTCTCTCAACGAGGCAGCATGGTCCACAGGTGGGGACCCTCCAATGCCTTACCTGGCCTCCTATGGACAGCTGAGCAATGGGGAACCCCACTACCTCCCGGACGCTATGTTTGGACAGCCAGGCCCCCTGGGGAGCAACCCATTCCTAAGCCAGCATGGCTTCAACTTTTTCCCCAGTGGCATCGATTTCTCCGCGTGGGGTAATAGCAGCTCTCAGGGACAGTCTGGGACACCGCAGAGCTCTGGCTACAGCAGCAGCTATGCTTATGCTCCCAGCTCTCTTGGGGGGGCCATGATTGATGGACAGTCCCCATTTGCACCTGCTGCCAATGAACCCCTTAACAAGGCACCTGGTATGAACAGCCTTGATCAGGGCATGGCAGGGCTTAAGATTGGTGGAGCAGCTCCTGGTGGTAATGGGGAAATGGCTCCTAAGGTGGTTGGCTCTGGTTTACCTGGTGGGGGCCCTCTTGGCCCCGTGTCATCTGTTGGACCTCCCAATATACCTCCTGTCTCGATTGCCCCTGCCAAGCCTGCTTCCTGGGCCGACATTGCCAGCAAACCAGCCAAGCCTCAACCCAAACTAAAAACCAAGGGTGGCATGGTGGGTGCCAATTTGCCTCCTCCGCCCATTAAACACAATATGGACATTGGCACTTGGGACAACAAGGGCACCATGCCCAAAGCTGCCACTCCTCAGCAGGTGCCTCCCATTCCCAGTAACGGTCAGCCCCCCAATCAGGCTTCGCCGCAGCCTGGAGCTACAGCAACAGGGAACCCACAAATGCCCCTGAGCAATGGACAGCTGGTTCCACCCGTTTCCCAACTGGGGCAGCATCAGCTTCTACCTACTGGTCAACCAGGTTTGGCTCAGATGCCCCAGCCTGCTCTCTCCCAGGGTCCTCCACCACAAAGCCAACAACAGCAACCCTCTCAGCCTACTCGCTGGGTCCCTCCTCGAAACCGGGCCAATGGATTTGGAGATGCTAGTGGGAATGGGACAGGCCAGTCACCTCCCACTTCTTCAAATGTAGGAGTGGTTCCTGGAGTCCCTTCAGAGCCTCACCCAGTTCTAGAAAAGCTGCGCATGGTTAACAACTATAACCCAAAGGACTTTGACTGGAATCTCAAGCAGGGCAGGGTGTTTATCATCAAGAGCTACTCCGAGGATGACATCCACCGCTCCATCAAATATAACATTTGGTGCAGCACGGAGCACGGCAACAAAAGGTTGGATGCTGCTTACCGCTCACTGAGTGGCAAAGGGCCTCTGTATCTTCTGTTCAGTGTCAATGGGAGCGGTCACTTCTGTGGTGTAGCAGAGATGCGCTCACCCGTGGACTACAACACGTCTGCCGGCGTGTGGTCACAGGACAAGTGGAAGGGGCGTTTTGACGTACGTTGGGTCTTTGTAAAAGACGTTCCTAACAGTCAGCTGAGGCACATTCGACTGGAAAACAACGAAAACAAACCAGTGACCAACTCCCGGGATACACAGGAGGTGCCGCTGGACAAGGCCAGGCAGGTGTTAAAGATCATCGCTGGATATAAACACACCACTTCCATCTTTGATGACTTTTCTCACTATGAGAAGCGTCAGGAGGAAGAAGAGTGTGTAAAAAAGGTAACGATACAAGTTACTCCCAATAAGAACAAGCTTTATACGGGGTAAAATGTTGACAGTGTGGGATTTCCAGTACTAAGGAAAACCAAAACAGAAAAACGAATGTTTTCATGTCACAACTTCTGTCCTATATTTTGTTTTTTAGACAAAGTTTAATGTTTTCCTTTAACAAAGTGAAAAATCATGTCGCCAGTAAATGCACAAGTTGGAAAAATGTCTAAAATAACACTTTTGGGAGTTTATATCTAATATCCTTTCATTGAATTCTGAAATCTCTAGGAAGTGTTCATTTTATATTCAGCTAAGTAGGCTGTCGATGTGTAATGTAGTGTATTTACATATTTGACACTTTTTGTTTTTATAAACAAAGGTTTAGTGATGCACCAGTTCTGATTTTGACAGCTGGTACCGCTTTGTTTCTTTGTAGTAGTGCTGGTTGTTCATTCAAATTCCAAGAATCGATTTAATTGTGATTCTCAAGATTTACAATCGGTCTAATTTGCTCCGATTATCAAACATTGTTCATTTTCAGCCGTTACCTCAGTTACACGACTTTGTAGTTAAATACATCAATACTATTGGCATTCATAAGCACATTTATGTAATATTGGTAGTTAATGGCTGTAAGGAGCTTTTCACAAACATGCTGAATCAGTGAGCAGATCCAGGACGGGTAACAGAAGCACTTTTTACAAAACAATGCCGTCAATTTGCCGCAACGCTGAAGCGGCATCTGAGAGCTTTAGGTCGTTTATAATTGGTCAGACCGTGGCGGTAATGCTGTGCAATCATGATGGCTACAGGAAGTAGCCAAAACGTTAGCTAGTATGGTAAAAGCAACCAAAGCTGCACTCCTAAAGTCTTTTAACAAGCTGCTCCTAAAGGTGTCTGTCCCCCACAGTCCCTATGCAGCCTGGTGATCTGACCTCGAGTTCTAACGGAGAAAAGCTCCAGGAGCGCTGCATTGTTCCAGATACACTCACCTGGTTCTGTTAACAAAATCAAAACTTTCCTATTTTTACTTTCTTTTTCAATGCTGGCCAGAGCTAGGCAGTGACTCCCCACGAGGTCATGACACTTCCCTCTGTTGCGCCTAGACGCAATCGCTGTTTATAGGACAGACAATTACAGCAATATTATTACCAAGTTAGGCGGAACAAATGCGGCTAAATTCGCGCAACGCCATGCTGGCATGGTGTGTTTTAAACCCTTATACGACCTTAGTGCATTTTATTGTGCTCAAAGGACATAAACGTTAAAAAATTAAAAGGGTTATATAAGGGTTAAGACGTACCGTTGTGGTAATATGCTGATTTGGCGACACAGCGCGTCTTGTTCATAAGGGCTAGAGGAAGTCAGATGCGTCATCGCCTGCATCAGCGGCCTGCTATTGGGACACTAATCTATTAATAAAATAAACACATTTAGCCACAATCTGTTTTAATGTCAATTAACAATATGAAGAGATTGTTAGCCAGTGTTGATGTAAACATAATGCTTATTAATAGCTCCAAAGTAACAGTTGCCGTTTTACTGTGTGCAGAAGTAAGAAATCAAACGTTATGAATTTAATTGAGAATCGATTCAGATTGAGATTGTTTATTTTCAACACAGTTTTGGTTTCAGGTACAGATCTGACCTGCTGATGTAGATTAATCTCAAAATCAATAAGTCAAATGTTACATATAGGATCTGTTATTGCTAGAGTGATTTAGCACATAGTGGTGGTGAGTTCACTGGTGTGAGCACGTCAGATTCTTATTTCTGCTTGGTAGGGCTGCACAATATATCGCAAATATATCGTTAGCGCGATATCGGCATGCACAATATGCATATTGCAAAGAACAGATAAAATCGCAATGAATGGTCAGCTCAAACGTTTGCTACACATAATGCATTCTGTGAATCAAATGGAAGCATGATGGTTTTTTTTAACAAATCAAATGGAGCTCTTCACCCATTTGGCCAATAGGGTGGGTTCTCTTGTGTTATGGGCCATTCCCATCTGTACCGGGTCGGCCCGGGCCGGGTAGCCCCAGTCGGCCCCAGCCTAGCCTAGCCCGGTTGATTCCACACATCCTTGTCTTAAGCCCATGTGGGCTGATTCTACCCACCAATCAGAGGCTTGCTCTAATGGAAGGTGTGAATTTGCTGTCAGCAGTGGGTGTGTTGGCCCTGGTCGGCCTGAAGCAGACCCCCTCGAGAAGAGGGCTGAGAATGAGCCTTGGTTGGCCCGGAAAAATACCAGGCCACCCAGATATGTAAACAACCTACGCTGCCTGGGCCGACCCGGTACAGATGGGAATGGCCCATTAGATGCCCGCCCCGAGGCGGGCGGCACTTAATTTTGATGGTTAGCAAACACCTGAGTTAGCTTTGTTCTGCTCTTTCTGCTTTTCCCAGGATCCACTGATTGCCTTTTCTTTTTCTTTTCCCCTTTCCTCAAATCTTTTGCTTTTCTAATTTTTAAGAATTTTTTAATTGTTTTTGATCATTTTAGCTCCTGAGTTAAGTTTTTATTTATCGCAAGTAATATTGTCATCGCAGTATTAATCATTGTTATCAAATATCGCAGGTTTTCCTAATATTGTACAGCCCTACTGCTTGGTAGTGCTGTCCAAATCTGATCACCAGCTAATATTTTCTAAACTACCATTTCTCATTATATCGTATTTGTGTTGTAAAACGTTACCAGGTAAGATGATTGGTTCAGGGACAAATGGGTTTGTCATAATCTGTCACTTGTAGATTATTTGTGGTGCAATGGTTTAATCTGCCATTTGCTTTCATCTGTACCTGAATCTATTTACCATATGTAGGCTTATTGTGGAGTTTGCTGATTGCAGCTGGTTTGGCCTTTTCATATTTACTCCGTCGTTTTATCACCTTGATTTGAAATCTTCAAATTCAAAAGAATGTTTGCAACAAAGGCTTTAGCAAGCTCTGGTGGAAAACGTTTTATCAAGGCCATCCCCCATAATAAATAGATAAAAGTAAAACACAATTTGTTTTATATTTGTTGGTGTTCCTTTACTTTATTTTTCTAAACTGTTTGCTTGGTTTGGTCACTGCCTCAAAACCTATTTTAGTAATCACAAGTTGGTGAATTTACTTTGTCTTGAAACTTAACTGACATCAGCTTGTTTTAAAATCTGGGTTGTGTTCATCCTGATCAACTGTCTGGCCTTTGTGTGGCAGGTGGAGGTCCAAGGCAGTGAGCCATATCCCAGCAACCCAAGCAACAGGAGTCATTACAGGATTCAGGTAAAGGCTCAGAAATACCCTAACGCACTCCTTGATGTGGTGTGTTTTTGTCGAACATTATTAGAGCTGACAAAATTTTCATCCTTTTTTTTAATAAATTATATTTGGTTTATGGTATTTTACAGTATTTTATTTTATTTGTTTTTCATAAAACTCCCAGGTGTTATAATAAAATAGAATAGACTTTATTGATCCCACAGTGGGGAGATTCACTTGTTGCAGCAGCAGCACCAACACTTGGTAGAATAATTTGAAGAAAATAACAACAAAGGTACATGTAAGTGCACATAGGCCTTGGTTCCAAAACTATGCAGCATACTGCAAGAGATGCAGACATACTACGTTAATCCGGTATTAAACACATACTGAGTATTGCATTGGTGTAATTGTGCACCAGGATAATGCCAGTACAACTTAAACTGAGGAGTTATACACTTGTACTGCAGAGGGCGTGAAAGATCTATGGTAGAGTTCTGTTTTACATCAGGGAAGTCTCAGTCTGCCGCTGAAGGAGCTGTCCATGGTCTCCACAGTGGAATACAGTGGTTGGGAGGTATTTTTGAAGATGATGGTCATCTTCCCCAGCATCCTTCTTTCACGTGTCTCCTCTGCTGTATCCAGTGGGCAGCTCTGAACAGAGTTAGCCTTGTGAACTAGCCTATTCAGTCTCTTCCTGTCAGAGCTGCCGGCACCCCAACATGCCACAGCCGAGTAAATAACGGATCCAACTAGGGCTGCAATGATTCGTCAACGTTGTCGACAAATATCGACAATAGAAATAGTTGACAATGAATTTCATCATCGACGTTGTCGCCAGACGTGTTTTCCGACCGAGTGAGGCATCTCACTTCGTTACAATCTCTGCTGAGAGTCGCACATGTGCAGTAGCTTGTCTGCTGAGCGCCAACTAACAGAAATGGCGGTGTCCAACACAGCAGCTACGCGTACCCAAACATCTAGAGTTTGGGAGCATTCTAGCCTGAATTCGGCGAATAAAAAGATGACCTGCATTATTTGCAAAGCAGTCCTTGCGGATCACGGCAGCACCTCTGTGATGCATGAACACTTAAAGAGGAAGCACGTCGGATAGTTGAATGAAACAGTCTGACTCGCCTTGGTAAGATTTAAATAACACGAAAGCCAATACGTTTTGTTTTGGATGTACATTTTTTAAACATATTTTCACTTTTAAAAAAGATTTAATGTTATGCCCAACTGCCTGACAAAAGGATTTTAATTTTATTTATGCATTTATGTCTGTAAAGAATGAGTCGTTTACATCTTACTTTATGAGCCATAAAATGTGAGATTCCATAGAAATATGAAATATCAATCTGATGGATCTTTGACTATTTTAACCAGAAGATCAGAACTTTTTATTGCAGGGATTAAGCAACACTTCATATTAACTCCAAGGAAAGCGAGAGAGTCTGGTTTAAAATGGTTAAGAAATTTATTTCTACGCAATTTAAACAAGACTTAACTTAAAACTCTGTGTACTGATGGACTAAGGTGGAGTGAGACGTGAAATGATGATGGTGTGTGTGTGTGTGTTATTCAGAACCAGCGGATCCGGAGAAGCGTTTAGTTCTGAGTGGGAGTGAATGTTTCACTCTAAACTTTAGTAGGAGATTTATAACACACATGAAACGCCATCTGTCAGTCTACGTACCCCAGGGGAAGCCTCCGATCAGATCCAGAATGCCAAGGTCCTCGTGGACCCTCTTTGGTACCGAAGCCGGTAGAAAAGCAGCGGTGCCGACCAGACTAGTCTTGGAATGCTTCCAGGCCATGACAGGTTATCACTGGGGTCAGCGAGGCCCTGAAGAGGTCGTGAGGTTAAGCTTTTATTCTGAAGGAACCGTCGCGGTCAGGTGTAACTTACAACAGATTTAATCCAACTTGTCGAGGTTCTTTGTGGCTGAAGAGGAAGTCCGGATGGCCTGCCCGAGATTTCTCTAGAACACTTTGAACTAAAGTAAATGTGGCGTGGAATAGTTTTTATAATTGTCATATTTTGGTTTACTGGCGGATCAGAATTTGACATGCCAAAAGAGGGTTTATACAAACACCACAGATAACCATGCCTAGCCAGAAACGAAGCTTCTGATTGGATCAGACAAAAGGAAATGTGTCGTGTGACTTTAGCATAACGTGTCTTTAGTGTCCAGGATTATAATAACTTGTAAAATACTACTGATCACAGGATTATAATATCAAGTAATTATATTGTCATTTCAGATTGATTGATCACATTATTATTGGTAATAACAAAGTTGTTGTTTATGTATTTATCAAAATAGTTCTTGTCTTCGCTGACAGAGGTGAAGCAGTTCAGATGAGCAGAGTGCATGAGAGACCTTGGCTTGGTTGTTGACTTTGTGTCTCTGCTCGAGCAGACACAGCAGATCATGACCTTTAGGTCAAAAACATGACGCTACATGTCTATACTGACAGAGCACTGTGCCTAATTGGTGTTTAGACGGGGCATTTTTATTTACTTTTAGTGTGAATTGGCCTATCAGCAGCAAAGTTCAATAAAATAAGCATTTTCCATTGTAGTACCCTTCTTTTGTTTATCATGTTTCACATAATTAAAGCAATCTCATGCTAAATTTAAGAAAAGGTTAATAATTATGCGATTAGTCGACTAATCTTTTCAATTGTCGGTGACTAGTCGGCTATTAAAATAGTCGTTAGTTGCAGCCCTAGATCCAACCACAGAGTGATTAAATGATTTTAGCAGCTGGGAATTAACTCAAATAGACCTCAACCTCCTCGGGAGGTGGAGGTGGCTTTGGCCCTTCTTACACAGCGTCTGTGTTGTTGGACCAGTTCAGTTTGCTGTTGAGATGAACACCCAGGTACTTGTTGCCATGGAAATGAATACTGAGCCGGTCTGACTCAAAAACAATCGGCTACGGAGGTGTTTGCTAGGCTACACCTGTTGGCTAGATAAACGTCAGGGTCATGAAAAGATTTGGAGTAATAACTACATGTTAAATTATATTGGAAATGGTCAGCAAGACTTTTTTTTTTTTTTTACACTTTAACATTTTCAAAAGATTGGATGTTAAAACTGCATTGTCTGTTCTGTGAATCGGTCGTGGTAGCCACCTTTTTCTGTCTGGTGCACTGGTTCAACCCGAGGTCTCGGGGAGGGGAGCAGGCAGAGGCTAGACTGGCCTTTAGCCAAAAGTGCCACATAAGCACAGAATTTACTACGGAGCTACCTCTGGTCGGTTACCGTGCTACATGTGAACTTTTCACTGTGTGTAGCAGTGTAATCTGTCCCCGCTGAAACACTTCCTACTGCATACATTCCAGATATTGTCTAGGCTTTTCTCCAGTGTGTATAAAAGAAATTCATGTAAAATAAATGAACACCGGTTTTTGGTACGGACCGGTATACCGTACAGGCCTACCAAGTACTTGATAACATTTTTTACTTGTGTCCAAAAAAACTAAGGGATTCTGTAAATTGGGGTTAAATAAAAGCATAAACTAGAAGTCTTTATTTTATGTTGCATGTTCATATGTAGTATGCACTTTTGTAGCGGTCATGTGTAACAAACTTGTTTTCCTCTTTTTAGGAGCGCCAAGGACGAGTCAAGTAACAGTTGGTGCTTTGCTCAAGTGACTGCAGTGGCCCCCTCTAGAGCCCCGTCTGCCCCAATACGTCATCACATTCAGATCTCTAAGAAATTCTAGTAGGGGTGAAGACTTAAACACGAGGACAAAAATACAAAAAAAGAGAAAACTAAATGAAGACATTAATTTCTTGACTTTAAAGACTTACTTCGAACTTGTAGTAAAAGGAAACGATTATTCATAGGACTACAACTAAATGCATAGCACCCCTAGGGGAAATCCTTTTTTGCCGTACCCCATTCCACTACAAATGCTTCTTCCTTTGTATGCTACAATGTCCTGTTTTTTCCCCCTTTTTTGAAATGAAAAGATCACCATCCTCTTTATTTTTTTAAGGTCCAAGAGCATGTCTGTCATTCTTGCACAAACACAAATCCAATAGAAATTTGTAGTGTTGGTAATAATATCCCAAAGTGAAGGATGGGCAGTTTCTCGTTTTCTTAGTAACCTTCCCCACCTTTACCTCCCCCTTCAAAGGATGTTCATATCTTTTGTCAGGACCCAGTGGAGCCTCCTCAACAGTGGATTTTCAGCGTAGGCTGGTGCCAATCGTACACCCGAGATTTTTTTTTTTTTTTGTACATGTTGTGTTTTTATTTGCAAGAACTCCAGATGTTCTTGAAGGGCCTCTGCTTTTTTGTTTTCCTGTGTTGGTTGGGGTGTTGGGTTTGAGACGGGACTAGGAAGATCTAAAGACAAACATTGAAGAACAAGATAATTTGTTTGTATTCAGAGGGAAAGTTAAGTTGATGGTCTTTTCATACTGTATAATTTAAAGGTCTAAGAAAATGTCGGGCCCTCTGTTACTAGTCTTGATTGGACTTATTTCCTCATCTTTTTATTTCTCATTCAAATCAATGTTGCAATGGGCTGCTGTTTTTCTTTCCTCATTTTATTCATTCTTTAAGACTGATGTGAGTGGCCTTGCTCCACTCTTTCTAATAATCAGTTCAAAAGTAATAAATGTATATTCAGCAGAATGGTGTGCATTCCTTATGTCTGACCGTGGAAAGTGCTTTTATTCTTGTATTTTCCACATGTACCAGTATGTTGTTTTTCATCTTTACAACCAGCCTGCAATCATTCAAGACTTTGTTTTATACTTCTATGCCATCTTTCTTACTTTCAGCTTTTGTCGTTCCCGATTCTCATCTCTGCTCAGACACTTTCATAATATAGTCACAACTGAAGGAAACCCTCCTCTGTGTCATTGTCGGCTTATTAAACGAAACAGAAACGTCCTCTTTAAGAACTACTGGCTTTTATTTGTGGCATAATAAAGATGCTCCACAAAGTCAATCTGGATTCTTCTCTTCATTGGCCAGTCTGTCCATCCAGTCACCTTAGTTTAGCTGCTAATGTCGGCAGCAAACACACTGCTGCATTTGTGTAAAAGTTTGACTCCTCGCTGTGTAAATGTGTTTAGGCCACATGTTGTGAAAAAGTGTCTTCCCAAACTGGTTTCTTCTGTTTTAGCTTTGTCACACAGTGTCAGAAAACCAAAGTACGTACAAACACAGCTTTCAAATGAGTGAAGGAAAAGCTACTGAAACCTCCCTAGCCCTATGGGGAGATAAAAGGTATGGCTCTAGAAACTTAACTGGTTGTAATATTCAAATAAGTTTTGACTCGATATTCATATATTTGCTGTGGTTTAGCATTCATGACCCTAACCCTGTTTAAGGTCAGAGGTTAGACATTTGACCCCTAATAATCACACTACCACCACCATGCTTGACTTGGTGCAGTGAAATTATGTGATCTATTTTTTACTCAAATGTTACTCTTATTTTTTTGGTGTGGCAGGGTGAGAGATCTTTGGGATCCTTTGGTCATCACACACTTTTTTTGTAGTTTTGAACGATATTTGCATAAACTGTGGCTGTTGTGTAATTTGTATTGTTTTGATCTGATGAGTAAAACTGCCAGTGTTTATTTCTACTATATGTTTCAGGAGGAGGAGTGGCTATGGGGTATTTGGACATGTGATAGTGATGAAGTTTAGGTTTTTTAACTGAAGCAGAAGGTGGTGTTGCTTTGGCACGGTGCTTAGGGAAATCTATGGATTACATCGGCTATCCATAACATCAGTGCTATCGCATATCGTCCCTACTTCTGGGTACTTTTCTTCTTGAATGTCTCAAAGCGTTGGGTGTTTGTGTTGCTTTTTGAGGTTTTATTTTTTTTAGCCTTAGGGTTTTCCCAATTCTACATTTGGGCCATAAGCAGACCTAGCACAGTTGGTGTAACTGGTCTGGATTTAACTTTCCAGAGACTGAGAGGCACGAGAGTGACCACGAGGTGTTTTTTAGGGCCGGTTTACAGAAGTATGCTCTCCACCTTTAATTAAATCATGATTTAAAAAGTCAAATTTGTATTTACCTTTCTCTGACATGAAAGTCTAGGACCTAAAATGGTGGTTCCCAACCCTTTTTCACGAGGACCGCCTTTCCCGTGTCCAAGATGAGCCAGGGCCCCCAACCCAAACTCCTACAAATAATTGCAAACTTTTTACAGATGTCATGCTTCTTATAGTGTTTAGATTTTTCCTATTGGGTGTGTTATCTGTATTTTATAAATAATTTTCAAGAATATAGTGTCTTGGTAACCTCACAACCTCCGCACTGGAAGAAATTGTGGTGACCCCCTGCAATCATGTGAGTCATGGACCCCAGGTTGGGAACAACTGCTCTAAAAATTTAGAGGTGACCAAAAAAAGGAGGGAAAACTGTAAAGAGGATTTTCACACAGCACTATAAACGTCTGCAACCCGCCATTTTCTGTCCTTAGATGTACTAAGCGTAGTGGCCACAAGAGGGCGACAGATGACTGTTTCTTTGAAGACTGGATTACTTGGGGCCTGATATCAAGCTCTCTGCATTTTTGTTTTAAATTGTGTTTATATTATTTTCACATTATGCATCAGAATAATGCCTTTTAATACTGAGGACCATCCATTAAGAAAATACATTTTAATTGTTTAACATAAATGTGTTTTAAATAGGTTACAGCAAAGAACTAAAACCGTCCAAGTTTTACGGTACACTTAAGGGTTTGTTGAAAGCAAAAGATGATAAAGTAAAAATTTTCTTTTTAATTTTTTGCAGCTGGAAGGAAACACACGGTATCAAAAGTCACCGTGTTGTATTTTGACTTTTTAAAAGTCAGATTATCATTTGTCTTTTAAATAATGGTCAAACTTTTTAGAAAATAATGTAATTTTAATTCTCACACACACACACACACACACACACACACACACAGCAATAAGGATATTTTACACAATCATGCATGTGTTCTCCGAATGGCCATAACTCAGCTTTTTAGCGCTTTTGTGTGTGTGTGTTGAGTCAGATTGGGGGTCGACGGCACGTGTCGTGAGTGGTGGGGGTGGGGGTGGGGGGCAAACACGCCACCTCAAGGGGTTCTCCTGTGACCCTTATCAGTGCGTCTCTGGGGATGCCTTTAAGCCCCTCCTGGGATGCAAATGAGCAGCCAGAAAGCAGAGGAGCATGGACGCCTCCGAGACGACGGTGGAGAAGAAAGGGGAAGGTGGAGGTGGAGGAGGAGGGTCACAGCACATGAAGCAGAAAGAGATGAAGAAAAAAAACAGCTCTGGTTGAGTCTCACTTTTTCATGACAACAGACTCCATAAACCCTCAGAAGAGGCACTTGAAATTGGTCAAACCTTCATCCTTGTGTTTATTTTCATGCAGTTTCAGGGATTTAATATGTTCAGGAGGATTGGTGCAGGCTCGTTCCTAGCTCACATAAGAGTCACCCTGCATTTCTTTCACCTGGTGGAACAGTTTTTAATTCATGATGGATAATTGTCCAGTCAGAGAGTCCTTATAGAACGTGTCTTTGGGTTCATGTTGCTCTGCAAGGTTATGGTTCTGCTTTATTTTCCCCTCATTATCATAAAGCATCCATCTCTTTCTTCCATTAGTGACGCTTCACCATGTCGCCAACATGATTAGACTGGATTTCAGCTCTTTTTGTGTCCTTTAAAAAGAAAAGGCAGCGCTTTATCAAACTGTAGTGCTTAATATTTTTCATCATTATTATAGAAGACCTTTTGTATTTTATTTTAAGACCTCCCGATTGGAGTTTTAGTCGCTTTATTACTTTGCACAAAAGCTCGCGCTGAATCTCTGAGAATTATTTTTGAAAAGAAAACAAAAGCTGATAAGGACCTAAACTAGAACAGAAGATTTATTTCCCATAGGGACATGTTAGGATGATGAATAATTTGATCACATGTGGGGGAGGGATGGAGAGGGGGGGGGGGTCTGTGTACGGTCACCTGCTCTCCATCACCGGGGGGTCCTGCTCTGTTGATGTGTGGAGTATTACCCCCTCATTTCTCCTAATTGTGCTGAGCATTTTGAAAATGCATAATGTGCAGACCGTCAAAAGGGGGCTGAAAACAGTTGATGACCTCTGTCTCAACATATGTGGCACGTGTGCCCCCCCCCCACCACCACCACCAATATATGCTGCTAACTGTGCAGAGACAACATAAAGACATGAAATATTTTTAGATTTACACTAAGTCCAAATTTGACCTGAATAAAGTGTTTAAATGTGAGACCTGAGGATGCAGCATCACTTCAGAGCACCTTTTCTCCTCACACTATTTGCATAATTTGCCTCCAACCTCTCAGATGTAGGTCAGCTCACATCCCTGTTGCCTGCAGCGGTTTACAGCTTCAGTCGTTTGATGTGATGTTAGGGGGATGCTTTTGATTTAAATTATGCTCATAGGGCTTTTTTTTGTGTTTGACAAAATAAAAAAACAACATTACAAATAAAAATGTGGTCCATGAAATTACGTCTTTATTGAAATGCTTTTGAGGACAAAAAATAAAAACTAAATAAAAGCACAAATGTGATACAGGAAGTAAATCATTCCAAATGAGCAAGGGAGATGTGTTTTCACAGCCTGATAACTGAGCGTAGATCAGCGTGCATGCGGATGGTTCAGCTCGTAGCAGTTTCACGCCACTTCCTCAGTGAGGAGTAAGCACACAGACCTTTGAAGGATCCCTCTGTCACCATACGCCGGATCCCCCCGCTGTGAGCCCTCTGTCCATTTGGCCACAGGACCAGCCCTGGTGGACCGCCAGTGGCTCTGTTTGTTCTGTCAATATGGAAACCAGTACACCAGCAGACTCTGCCCAGCTACTATGGTGCCTATCCTCTCCGGTTTGCCTGTGAGCGCGATGGGGTTGACTGTGGCTCCTCTCTTGGCATTCACCGCGTGCCTTAATTGTATTGAAATTAAATCAAGGTCCACTGTGAACACAAAGAGCTCAAACCCAAAACTTCCAAAGCGTTCTCGGCTACTTTCCGTACTCCGTCCTTCCCCCTTGCTTTTGGGAATGCAGCAGTTTTCCTAAGCACTGCCAGGTAGCTTTAGCTTTTGCATCACTCGTTCGTCCCTGTTTGACTTTCTGATTCGTCTCTCCTCACCTGTGATCTGTTGTCCCTGTGGGCTCAGGGGCGGGAGTGCGGCTCTGGCTCACACACTAATCCCACGCAAACATGCAGAGTCTCCTTTTGGTGTAATGCAGGAAAACTAAACCGACTTTGACTCCTTGGATCAGCTGATAAGTGTTCACACGCATGCACGCAATGGGTGGGGGGGTTGCAGCGACACATATGAAGAGAACATAGCAACAACATATCCTGTGTACAAACAACAGATGATTAAAACAAACAGAGAGAGAGAGGCGAGCGAGCAAAGCTACCTTTGTTGCACCGAGAGCAGCAGCACCTGATTTCTACCATTCCTGCAGACCATCTTCCCCTCAGAGCAAAACAAAGGACAGAGACTAGATTTTTACAGAGACGCATGCACACGTTTCGATGCGTCGCAATGTCTTAAATCTGAACATGGCTCCAGTTTTACTGTTTTTTAAGCGCTTGGTACGGTTTAAGCTTGTTATAGTTGTGTCATTATCTCCCCTTTGCCCTTCCCTCCTACTCTCATCCCTTTACTGTTCTCTCTCTTCGTCTGTGTGTGTGCGTGTGTGTGTGTGTGTGTGTGTGTGTACACTCTGCGCATGCAACTCTAGCCAGGGACAGAATAAAAACAGCATCAAAATAACATTTTGGATGTTGTACAACTAGTGAGACGTACCAATAGATCATTTAACAAACATAAAATATTAAAGTTGTTGTTGTCCACTTAAAATTCCACATTTTTAAATCATTCCTTTCAGTTTTAGCCTACAGGGTGCTAATGTAAATCTTTTAACCGCCCCAGCTCAAATATGTCCTTCCTCTCTAAAAAC